ACTTATGAGGAAACATGCTGTCCACCACCAGAGAAATTATGGACTTGAAGTGCAGATTTAAGCATAGTTTTTCTCTTTCTTGTTTTTTTGTTTTTTCAGAACATGGGTAACGCAAAAATATATTTGAATGACTTGATGTGTATAATTGCTATTGCATTTCTTGCCTTCTCAATAGGTGGGGGAGGAAGAGAATTTAGAATTTAAGAATAAAATTGAATTTTTAAAAATAATAGCCAGGAGGAGATTATGGTACCTGACCAGCCTGGATATCACCACCTCTTCCTCCTGTAAGAGCCTTTCAGAGGCTCTGCGTCTGGTGAGAGTATAACCAATTCTCTTTGAAGAAAAGAGTGTAATTCCTTGGTGCCATCGAAGAATAAAGACAGTAAGCTGTACCAGCTATTTTATTTTTTCTCATTTATTTTATCATTTTGAGCTAGGGCCTCTAAGCCTGAACACACAGAAGCACACTTTTAAAAAATAATGACAGCCCCAAATGTGCAATTCTGCATTCGTTTGTTTATAAACTATCTGGAGATTTTGTGTTCTATTAGGGAGTAGGAGTACAGAGGGAATTCGATTCCAATGGTGTAGAGTGTACAGCACCAGGACAGATGCTCGGGCTTTAGTATAACATTAACCCAGACAAGATCTCAAGTATGGCATATTTTTATTTAAATATGTGTGTATATGTATATAGATGTGTGTGCATATGGGGGCATATATGTGTGTACGTATGTACTCCCTATGGCTTTGTCCCTGGATAGATCACAGTGACTTGATAAAAATCTCAAGTCTAGAGAATGGCATGAGTAGCAAATGACCCGAGTTGGTTTTTTTTTTCTTTAAAGGCCCCAACATCATTGTTTCTCAAACCAAAACTGATATTAAACTGATGCTGAGGAAACATGGCCATCCCCAGCTGATTAAATCTGGGCTCATGAAATTCAGCTGAAAATAGTCTTAGAAATTAGAGGAAGTTGTCCAGGTGTTTGTCCCATCCGTCCCCCAAAGGATAGAGTTACAGTAAGTATTCACCTAAGGCATAAAGATTGAATAATAACTACTGTGCCTGTGTTTTACAGAGAGTAGTCATCAGCCAAACAAGCACAACTTTCATATTCTTTTCACTAAAGAAGTTAGCTTGCCTCTGACCCATTAATCCTTCTGATATTCCTGTGTTAAGTGAGTGAAAGATGAAGGCAGGCAAGGCTACCCTCCCATTGGTTTTCCCAGCTGACATGGAAGAGGTTGGCCTTTGAAACTGTGAAAACCTAATTAAAAGGATGATGTTCCTTAGCTGGTGGAAGAGCAAATGCTTGTTTTGTGAGACTGCAAAGGATATGTGCAAAGACCTAGTGTTAATGATTCCCCCTAAGGTTCATGTATCTTCTTCCAAATAGCGACGAAGCTAACCATTCTTAGACTAGGAAAATCTAGAGGTCAGTTGATGGTACACACATACACACCCATATGCGCCCCTCCAACACACACACCCATATACTCAACATTAAAAAAAACCCACTATATTCTTGCCTGCTTTTTTTCCACAAGCAAGTCTTCCACATTTATTATCCCATGACATTTTGAACCTTTTCGCGTTTTATCTACTTTCCTTTCTCATCCCCATTTCCTCTCCTCGTTACTCATTGTTCTGTGCCTATTCCTTCTGCACCACAGCCCCTGCATTCCATAATGCTCCCCCTTCTTCTACCTCCCTCAGTCTGTATCCTCTCATCTGCTGGCCAAGAAGCATAATCCCTGTTTTTTCTGCCCTCCTACTTCTCTCTTACTTCTTCCAGTCTGTTTTCTATTTTATTTCTGCTTTTTCACCCATGCCACCCATTCTTTGCTCTTTGTGTGCTCTCTCTAAGGCAGGATAAGATCAGGCACTCTAAGTAAACACTGATTCAGAAAACAGGGGTCCTGTGCAAACAACCTGTGAGAGCTTAAGTTAGCCGGGGGATAGCTAAGCAAAGGTCAAAGGATTAGATCGGTGGAATCCCCCTTCCTGAACTTGTGCCCTCCACCCCCAGTGGTGCTGGAAGAAAGAAGGCAGTATGTGGGGAATCATAGTTTTAGGATTAGAAAGGACATTAAAAACCATCTGCTCATTTTGTCAATAGGAAAACTGAGGCCCAAAGGGAGTAAGTGATTCGCCCAAGATCACTCAGGGAGTTAAGGGGCTGGGATTCAACCACAGACTCTCTGACTCAAAATATAGTATTTCTCTCCCTTACCTTAGAACTCACCATTAGGTTCTATTTTAGCTATCCCCAGGATCTGCCACATAGCTGCTGTTTTCCGCAAGAGGCAAACATATCTTGGCACCAAATCTGCCAATACATTCTTGTGGTCTCTGTCACTTAGGATGTCCATGTGGTTATAACACCATTTGCTTCAAAACAGAACTGAGAAATAAGCTGATCCCTCTTGAAACCCTTCCAGGGTATTGTTAGTTATTAAAACATTTTAGTCACTAAAACCAAAATTTTAGCACTAAAATAGGAAAGACAACTCACTGTAAGGCAGCTTATCTGGAAAGTGCAGCCACCCCTTAGACCTTAGAGACAAGATAAGTGAGGCTTTAACGTATACTCTTTCTCATGCCTGGTTTTTCTTCTCTGTTTTCCCTTTCTCCATTTTCCTTTCTTTTCCCACTTCTACTTTCCCTTTCTTATTGCTATCAATCCAGCTTTCTCAGCTTGCTCTCCTCCTTAAGGCTTTGCTTTGGCGGAGGCTTTACATGGGCTGAGACAGCAAGCATGACTAGCCAGCTTGCATCAGTCTTGAGGCAGAAGCAGAGCCCCCAAGTAACGTGATGAGATGGAGCACCTGGGAGTCCTCGGCCCCTGTGAATTTTTTCCTTGCCTGTGGCACTTTGATCCTTGCCCTGGTCTCTACGTGGGGATTTCACACCAAGCCTATTCCTTTGGTTCCACATGAGGGCTGAGTGTGGTGGCCACCAACCTGGCACAGCACTGAGGACAAGGTGGGTATGAACTGGGCTGAGTGGTCAGGCCTTTGTGGGTTTAACTTAGAATTTCACTTTCTAATCTCACTTATCTTCAGGTGGACAGAGAGGTAGTTTAACCCCATTGTAGCAAGGAGGGCATCATGTCATCTTTCTTTCAAGGGTGGGATCTCCCCAATGTCCCGAAGGTTGACACTCAAGAGCTGTGGCAAGAGCTCCATCACGAGAGGCCCTGGACTTCCTCTGAGAAATTGCTGGTGTAGACCATTGCTCTATGTGCCACCTTAGTCTCTGGTTTTATACAGGCAGCCAGGATGGGAGGCCCATTTCTACCCAAGAGCTGGGACTCAAAATGTTTTCCTAACTATCAATCTTTAGGAAGCAATAGCTTCCTTAAAGTTAATGCTGTATGGGAGAAAGAACACAGAGAATTGTTTCAGAGGGCATACCTCCACAAATGGCCACCACCAAGGAGAGGATAGAACAGGAGTGCAAAGAATGCCTTCCTATTTGAACACCCCCAGCATAGGAATATAACTACACCAGCACCTGAATTATCTAAAAGGTTAAGATCGAAACTGAGTTCCCAGAAAGGTATCATGGAAAAACCACCACCTTTGTTTCTTCCACTCAGAAATGTTAAAGCAATTGATCCCATTTCTTTGAAGGACAGCCATCTTCTCTGACTCAAAACAGCAAAGGAGGACTTTCCAGTTCCGCCAGTGAAGAACTGGAATCAGGAGGAAACCAAGTAGCACTTTATCCCAAGGATTCAAGCTGGGTCTAATGGGCAGGGTAGAAAGCAGGAGAGGAACAGCTTATAAAATGCCCATTCCTAGATATTCATATTGCATATGGGATACACCTGGATGGTGTACATGGTGCATACCTAGAACAGGTCATACAAAGCCACCATGCCCTGATTTGTGCACTGTGCCCAAGGAGAGCACAATTTCTCTTGAGGTCTATCAGAATGCCTGATCAGTTACATAGAGAGGAAGGCAAGCCTCACTCTGAACAAGGCATTATAGATGAACCAATGACTTTCTTTAAGGAGTTGCTCTTGGAGATTTTCAGTATCTAAGAAACTCAGATTTGATCAGATCAAAGTCATTTTTTTGCTTAATATTTTAACTTCCCTTGTATTTTCCAAACCAGAAGATCCATACTGAAAGCAACTTCTGGGAGAGTATTCATCCCAAACGTGGAAAAAAAAAGAACACAACAGGAGGTGTTAGGTCCTGTTGGGAACATCTCTTAACAAAACTGTGATCTAGGGTGTGGGGGCAGGAAGAAAAAGAAGCTTCATGCTAGATGACCCTTGTTGTTTGGCTTGGAGAGTGAGTCCTCTCTAATGGGCCATATTCATGAAACTGGAGAGTTGACACTTCTGCAAGGTGAGGACCCATTGAGGATAGTGGATAGTTGAGTTAGACTGCTTGGCCTTTTTCGTTTTCCTATTTCTTGAACACCTCTGAAGCATCTTGCCACAATGGTGGGCCATTCTTACTCTAGTGAGCCTTGGGTCTACTAGGGCACCCAAGGAAATCCAAGCACAGCCTAGAGTGGCGAGTGAGGGGAAACACTGTTCTTCTCAGAAGGGTGTTCATTAGGTTTGGGTCAGCACAAAAAACAAAATAAATAAATAAATAAACAAAAAAAACCAGAAGCAGAAAATAGTTCTATTCAGTGCAAATTTTTCCTGGTTCTCTCTGCCTCCCATAACAGTGATTAAAATAGTGATGATGACTGTTTGTACAGTTTGGTCAGTCCTGAGTTGCGGCTGGCAAACTCCATGCTGAACATATGCCTGAGGATGGTGTAGAAACACGAGGGAACAGAGTTATTACAGAGACTCCTCCCGTTAGAATTCCAGGTCTCATCTTGATCCTTCCACCTCAAAGGTGCTCATTTCAGACACTTGCCTTCAGTCACTCTTGACACCCCCCTCCCCAATCCCTCTGTGAGCAAGGTCCAGTCATCCCTCCCTGTGGTTCTTGTAGCCAGTTTGCCAACAATCATTGCTTTACTTTTCATCCTCATCCCCCTCACTCATGCTGCTGATGGAGGCTGAGGCTGCTTTAGGTGACGAAGGAGGAGAGGTTTTGTTTGGGAGCCAAGGGAAAGTGGGAGAGGGAGAACGGGAAGGAGACCGACCCCTCGTTGGGCTGTTTGTCGGGCTCTGCCTTGGTGATAATGCCTGTAGCATCCGTCCACTGCGTTCTTGGAACATCTGTTTCTGAAAAGAAATTTGAGAAAAAGGCACTCATTATTGAATAGTTGAAAGTAACAGAAATAGAACTTAGGTTTAAGAGAAAGACAGAAGGGATGTCTTCCCTTATGGATAGAATTCTAAGCGCATGTGTGTACCCTCATATTTGCAGATCGATAATTCGTTACATTCTGTCACTTTATTAACAAAGTAAGATGTAGGTGGAGTGAAATATTGATTATCTATAGTAAAGTGATTTTACATTAAATGTGGTAAATTGACCCAAAGTATCAATATTCCCTTAGTCCAGTTTCCATAGTGGTGCTCAAACATCCGATAGCTGTTTCCACCTCCCATACCTTTGCACAAACTGTTCCTAGAATGTCTAGAATGCTCTCCCTCCTCACTCCTGCCTCACAGAATCCCTAATGTCTTTTAAAGTTCCACTCGGGTCTTGCCTTCCAGCCCAGGCCTTTGCTGATTTCCCCCAATACTGCTGCCATTCCCCCAGTCTATCATCTTTCTCCCCCAATTATTAGCCCGCTCTCCCTCTTTAAATAATTTTGTATTAGTTTGTATATAATATGTATTCACTCAGTTGGGGGCAGGTCATCTTTCTCACTGCACTCCCCTTCCCTCACCAAGTTCTTGGAAGTCAGAGACAGGTTGGTTTTTGTTGTTGTTGTTGTTGTTAGTCTTTGTGTTTGTAACTAGCACTGGTTGAGTGCTTCGTAAGTGTTTGTTGAATTGAATTGAATTATATGGAACTGGACTGAATTACGATGCTGGTGTTAGGGATGGAACACTGTCTGTAAGCAAGTTTACCTTGGGCCCTCACTCTTTGATAAGGGAACAAGCTCTGATCTCTGTTAAATCCAGATCAGTGTACTAATGAGCCCTGTTACAATATAAGTTGTACCGTATTTAATCTATTCCATACTATTCATAAAAACAGATTTCACAGAAATCTATTAACCAAAGTTCCAACTGGCTTTCCTGTACATAACTGATGTGGAAATGTCTTCTAAACCACCACATAAATACTAAATTATATTAGTGTAGGTTGTAATTTACTGTGTTCTAATTTGTTGAAAATCAATCACTTTTTAAATAATATTTTACTAGCCAGAATATTTGACTCACCAGAATACCTCATTCCCCGAAAATGCCATAAAACTGTGTTGAATATGCCTTTATCCTTCAGCTGTGGTACCAAGTACTACAACTTTTATTCCAGTGTTTTAAGTGATGTTAGAAGTATTGTCATTCCCATTTTTCAGTTGAAGAAATTGATACTGAGAGATTAAGTGACTTGCCCATGGTAACATAGTAGGTGGTGGATGAAGAGAGTTCTAGGCTTGAAGTCAGGATGACTTCAGTTCAAACACAGCCTCAGAAATATACTAGCTGTGTGACCCTAAACAAGTCACTTAACCTCTGTTTGCCTCAGTTTTCTCAACTGTAAAATAGGAATGATAATAATAACAATTACCTTAAAGGGTTGGTATGAGGATTAAATGAGATAATATTGGTTAAAAGCACTTAGCACAGTGCTTGGCACATAGTAAGTACTCTAGAAATGCTTATTCTCTTCCCTTTGTTAGTCAATAATGTGACAATAAAACATTTTGAGCAAAAACTCATCAATCTCTTTGGCTAAGTTACAGGTTCAGGCTGTGTTCCTCTTTTAATGTATGAGATGTGGAGATTTGCTGATTTGGGGCAATGTGTTATGAGCCCAAAGCAGAAAAAAGTGCCTTAAAAATACTACCTTCATGAAACCTGCTACTCACTTCCTGCCAGAGAGGTGAAGATGTTATTGGAAAAGGACAGTGGTGCTAAAGAAAACAAGAAATCATCATTACAACATTTAAAATATTTATCATCTGCCTAGTGTGAGTTGACAGAACCCAATGAAAGTATATCCTTAGAAGCAGTAGTTGAAAATTCATTCCCACTTTATCGGGCACTTTTTTTTTTCATCCCAAGATGCCACATGTGCAAGAACTACCCTTCTGTAAAATCATAGAATATCAGAACTAGACTTTCTAAGTCAGAGGAAGAAACTTTTACAGAAGAAGAAACTGAGACCCACAGAGTTTAAGTGATTTGCCCAAGCTACACAGCTAGTTAAGTGACATAACAGAACTCTCCGTCAATAGGAAAATGCCAACAAAATGGAAACCAATGATCCCATTTCATCTTCTATGATTTGTCCAGTATTGGGGACCAGCAGTTTCTCTTCTTCCCTAGATATCTCCTCCTATTTTCATCTTATAGCCTTATTCCAGCTTCACCTTAGATCTAAGGGCAGCATGGTGATATGGAATGAGGATTAAATTTTCAGTCAGGAGATTTAGTATTACCTAGGTAACTTTGGGAAAGTCCCTTTACTCCTCTGAGCCTCAGTTTCCTCATTTACCTTTGGGGATAATAGTATAGGCGTTATTTACCCCTCAGTGCTATGTAGTGTGTTGCTGAGAAGAAAGTGTTTTTGTAAAATATAAATCTCTATAGAAATGTAAATTTTGCCAGGTCATTACCCTGAAATGGCCTAGTATACCACTGTGTATAATTTTTCTTCCTAATGGGACAGAGTTTTTTTAAACCCAAAACATAGTTCAGAATTAGTGACTGGTCTTTGGTGCATAAGCAACCCTTTTGATTATGCCCTGGCCCCTTACTACTTAAATGGCACCCCATCTGTAGTAACTGGTACAATAAATAGCAACTGACCACCTTGTATCAAGACAATTGGTCATTTCTGCTAAAAGACAACATGCTCATCTAACAAAATCAAACGGGAAAAAACCAGTGAGAATGAAACAAGTTAGGTACAATGGTATTCCCTCACATTAAGTCCATTTATGAGACAAAATCAAATGCCAGAAAGATTGAGTAGCCTGTTATTAATATGAGCTTTCAGAAGCCTTGAACTTTTGGAAGGCACTTAAAATATGTATTTTATTACTATAATCTTTGTGTATATTTTTTCATGTCAGCCATTAGCCCTCCACTGTGAATGGATTTGTCAGCATTTCCATTAGCAACTTTTTTTTTCTAAAGAGAACTACATATAACTTGTTCCTGGCAATTTGACTCAAGACTCTCAGTGAGTCTGTTCTGTTTAAGAGAATGAAAGATTTTGAATCATTAAGAAAACAACAGCATGGGACTTGCATTTACTGTTGTATTGCTGCCAAATATTTCTCTAAATAGGTTTTCAGGCTCTTGTAACTGATTTCTTCCTAATTTATTTTTGTAGTGTGGGACACATGAAAAGCAGATGAATTGAATGGCCTTCAATGAGCTTCCTGGATAAAAAAGCGTTTTGTAAATGTAACAAGGCAATTTCCTGTGCCTTGATTTCTTGATCTGTAAAATAGATACACTGCTTCCAGGACTCCCTATTTCATAAGGTTGTTTTAATATTCCTTGAATATAAGATAGTAGGCGTGAAAGTGCTTTGGAAATAGATTCTGCTTTTGGTTTAGTTTTTGTTTTCTTTAAAGGCAATAGTAAAAACCCTGGATAGAAAGGGAGAAATCTCGAGTTCAGATACCAGCTCAATACCTATTACTTATGTGACCATGGAGGAGGGGAAAGTCACTTATCTCATCCCACCAACCCCAAAGGTTCTTTTTCAATTTCTATTTTGCCTTCTGGTTCTAAAATATCAGGGCAATTTTCCTTGATAATTTCTTGAAAGATAATGTCTAGGCTCTTTTTTTGGTCATGGCTTTCAGATAGTCCAATCATTTTTAAATTATCTCTCCTGGACCTATTTTCCAAGTCAGTTGTTTTTCCAATGAGATATTTCACATTGTTTTCTAATTTTTCATTCTTTTGGATTTGTTTTACAGTGTCTTGATTTCTCATAAAGTCACTAGCTTCCAATTGCTGTATTCCAATTTTTAAGGAAGTATTTTCTTCAGTAAGCTTTTGGACTTTCTTTTGCATTTGGCCAATTTTGCTTCTTAGGGCATTCTTCTCCTCATTGGCTTTTTGGACCTCTTTTGCCATTTGGGTTATTTTTTAAGGTGTTATTTTCTTCAATATTTTTTTGGGTCTCCTTTAGCATCACTCTCAGCTTTTCCTCTACTTCTCTTAATTGCTTCTCAAAATCCTTTTTGAGCTCTTCCATGGCCTGGGACTGATTCATATTTTTCTTGGAGGCTTTGGATGTAGGAGCTTTGGCTTCGTTGTCTTCTTCTGGTTGTATGTTTTGATCTTCTTTATCACTAAAGTAAGATAATATAGTCTGACTCTTTTTGTGCTGCTTGCTCATGATCCCAGCTAATTACTTGAGTTAAAAACTCTTTGTTAAGGTAGGGGTCTCCTTCCAGTATGGAGAATGTACTATCCCAAGCTTTGGGGGTTTTGTGCAGCTGTTTTCAGAGATACTTCTAGTGACCTGTAAATTTTCAGTTTTTCCAACATGGTATGGTCAAGGGCAAGGTGTTTACTCCTTTCCTGGCCTGTGCTCTGGTCTATGAGTATCCACAAGCACTCTTTTCTGTCTTGGAACTGTGAGGAGGATTTCCTCTCCACCGCCACTTCAGGCTCTACTAAGCCAGTGCTCCTCCTCACCCCAGGATTGCCACCCAGAACTGTGACCCAGATCCAAGCACAGGAAAAACAAGAGAATCCTGCACCAGCAGAGAGATCCCTACAATCCCCCTCTGATCAGCTACTCAATTCCCCCTCAGTCTGTGGGCTGGAAGCTCAGGAAGCAGCTGCTGCCCTGGGGCCACGCTCAGGGAATGGGGCTGGGACCTAGCTTCTCTCTCTCACCGCAGAAGCAGACTTTTCCCACTGACCTTCTAAGTTGTCTTTGGTGTTCATGGCTTGAGAGTTCTGGAAACCACCACAGCTGCCAGATTCACCACTCTGGGGCCTGCGTGCCCTTGCCGAACTGCATTCCTGTCCCAGCCTGGAGCCAGAGACCTTTCTGATCAACCATCCAGGTTGTCTTGGGCTGGAAATTTGTTTCACTCTGTCTTTTTGTGGGTTCTGCTGCTTTAGAA